CCCGACAAGCACCAGCCCCACAGAGAAGGAAACGGTATCTGCAAATCCACAGCAACAGTCTCCCCACGTGCAGTCGCCCCAGCTCGGTTTTTCCCTTTGTGGAGAAGAAGAGGGTCTTACTGGAGTCATCCTGGTTGCAAAAGAACCCTACACAGCAGGTTCAAGTTCAAGGAAAATAAGGAAGGAAAGAAGGGCTCTGGTGGGCTCCCAGGTTTTACATGGCTCCCATAGCAGGGAGACCTAACGGTGGAGATCTGGCCTGAGACTGCTGTCCAGCTTGGGGTACTGTCTTCTCTGAGATTCTGTCTTATTCTCAGCTGCAGCGTGACCATCTGGGCCCTCACTTTTCACCACTTCCTAATCTAGCAGCTGTAGGGCCAAGGAAGGGCAGGTGTGGCCATTGTTCTAAACATTACCTTCCAGAGCCCTCTTTGGCCCAGCTGGATCAGGAGTCCATTGCTACCTGGTGTGTCACAGGACAGGGCAAGCGAGTAGCAGACGGTCTCAGGACCAGTGCCCCCACACTCGTCGGCTCCTGTGACTTTTATGAGGCAAGACTTGAGTCAGCTTCTCTATTATTACTTATGGTCGTTGTGGTCCCCAGATTTCCTTCTCTTCCCGTTCCTCAAGTTGTCTTTTGATAGTTGATGTTTCAGATAAAGCCTCTGTCAGAAGAAGTGATGCTTCTCCCCTTGTATCAGGCCCAGGCTCCTTGAGGCAAAGGGATCATGGATACTCTCAGGGTAATAAAACTCAAGTCATTTGGATATAAAAAGAGAGTTAAGGACTGGGGATTTAGCTCAGTGGCATAAACACCTGTCTTGCACATGTGTAGTTGTGAGTTCGATCCCTGGTACCAAAAAAACAAAAAAACAAAAAACACCCAAAAACATAAAAGAGAGTTAAGGATCTGGGCGATCATAATGGTTACTTACAGCTGTGTGGAGAAGAGTTGAAAGGATGAGAAGGAAGAGAAGGGAGAAGAGGAAGGGGATGATAATGGTGAATAAAGAAATTAGAAGCCAGGTGTGGTGACATGTCTGTAATCCCAGCACTCAGGAAGCTGAGGCAGGTGGATCTCTGTGAGTTCAAGGCCAGTTTAGGCTACAAAATGAATTCAAAGCTAGCCTGAACTGCATAGTAACACTCTGTCTCATTAAGACAAAGGAAAAAAAATAAAGAAATTAGAAGAATAGGCCTTACCAAAAAACAAAACAAAACAGAACAGAACACAGAGAGAGACAAGGAACACAAATAGATATTTACATGTGGTAAAAAGAATCTTCAGTTTAGGACCCAAAGATAACTTGACTCCTGGACTTGCTTTGCCCCTTAACTAGCTTGATGATCTCAAACAAACTGCTCAGTTGGAATCTGTAAAAACTGAAATGTTCCTCTAAGTTAAGTATTTCCATGATCCTACAGTATATAATCCTATGCTGGGAAAAGAAAGAGGGTCTTGGAATAAATGGGATGAGTGGAGCCAGTGAAGGGCTGGTTTCCTAGAGGAGATGAATCTTCAAAAGAGTTGAAAGATTTGAGGGCCAGCTTTGGTGGGAAGCAAAGATCAGGTGTGTGGCAGCCGGGAAGACCTTTAACAGTGGCTTGGGAGGAGGGATGAGGAGTGTGAGGGTGGAGGAAGAGGGCTGGATCCAAACGTGGTCTTTTCTAGGTCTTGGCTTCCTCCAGCATTATTTTTCAGAGGACCCTACAAGAGGAAGGAAACGACATTCACATTTTCTGGCTAAAGCAGAGTCTAAGTTTCAGTATTAGAAAGAGAATGAAGGTGGGTCAGATTGAGAGGAGGCCTGGGGAAGCATGGTGAGGTATCTTGAAACCTGTGTTAAGGGATTTCCCTGGTTTAGAACAGGGCAATCGTTTTTACCATTAAAATCCCATTGGTTTTCACCACTAAATTTCCAAGACTACGTACGAACCTCTCTTCCTTTTTGTAAATGTCAGTGAACCTGTGCTCAGAGTGAAGGAGGTAAGATCAGAATAAACCAGGTGATACAGTGGCAGTTGTAGCAGGTCCACAAGCTGACTCCAGATGAGTTTAAATGCAGGACAACGACTTACTACAACAGCCAGAGCTGAATTTCAGCTCTTCAGAGAAACTGTATTCATCAGTTTTCCAACGCTACGATAAAATGCCCAAGGCTGAGAAACTTTATAGGAAGAAGAGTTTTGTTCAGTTCATACTCCTGGGAATTTGAGAATGTAGTGTTGGTACAACAATGGCAGAAGCACAGATCGAGAGGTCACCAGAAGCCAGAGAAGCTGCCCTGCCACAGTCCCTCCTGAAGCACAGCTCTGGCTGACATAGGGCCCTGCTTCTCAAAGGTCTTACTGCTTCATGAAGACCATCGCTGAAGACTGACATATGACCTTTTGGAGAGCACACTCAAACCATAGCCACACTAGAGCAGGAATCAAATCAGGCCATTTAAAAGGGAAAAACCAAAACAAACAAACAAACAAAAAAACTTTCTACCACGGAGAATTTCAATCTCTAAAAACAATTCTCTGGGTTCTTCTTTGATTTTATGACTGTGTGGCTCAAGGGAAAGGGCTGAGCGGTCAAGACCCTCGTTACCCTCAGTGACATAGCAATGCTATAATCGTTTCTTCTGAGCTGGCCAGAATGGCACATGCCTGTGATCCCAGCTACTCAAGAGGTTGAGGCAGGAGGATCACAAGTTTGAAGCCAGCCTGGGCAATTTAGTGATACCATCTCAAAAGAAAAGACCAGGGGGGTGGGTGGGGTGTGGTGGGGAGCAGTGCTCTGCCTAGGAGCTCAGGACTGTAATCTCAGAACTCAAAAGGGGAGGCTGAAGTAGGAGGATCACAAATATGAGCCCCATGTGGGCAGTCTAGGGATTTAGTGAAACCCTGTCTCAAAAAATAAGAAGAGCTGGTTATTTAGTTCAGGGAAAAGGCCTTGGATTACAACCCCAGTACCCCAAAAAAAGTGTGTGTGGGGGGGGTGGGGGTGGGCAGGGATGCGGCTCAGTGGCACAGCTCCTCCCTAGCATGAGCAAGGTTCTGGGTTCCACCTCCTGTCAGGAAAATAAAACTTTCCCCTGAGCTCCATTGGAAGACAGGGAAACGAAACGCAAAACAAAACAAAATGAAAACCCTGCCTGTCTTGGAGTTTTTTGCACATGCTTCGTGTCTTACTCAGGCAGGAATAATAACAGGGAGGGGACATGCTGGCGTTTGCTAGGGCCTGTTGTAGAACGGGCGCCTTCTCATTCGCTATGTCTTCTCTCTGCATTCTCACAGATGAGGAAATGGAAGGGGAAGGGGACTTCAGTAACTTGGGGTTTCCCCAGTGTGGAAGGCAGAAGCGAGACTCTGAGTCAGTCGGGGACAGAGAGACATGTCAGGGGGTGGCGTGCAGCAGAGTCCTCAGCCCTGAGCATCTTCCACACCTCCTTGGAGGCTTTGAAAACACAAGTCACTGGGCCCTCACCCAGAGCTGCTGATCCCACAGGGGTCAGGGAAGTTGGCGTTTCTGACAAGATGATTCTGATGCTGTTGGTCCAACAGGACCAGACCTGGAAAACAACGGAGAGCAATGAGTGGATACGTGTTTCCTCATCTGTGTTCTAATCCAATGCTGCTCTATTTATTTATTTAGGTACCAGGAATCAAACTCAGGACCTTACACTTAATAGGCAGCACTGTGCCACTGAGCTACATCCCCAGCCCAGCAATATTGCTCTTGTATGTGAAGGCTAAGGCATCCAAAAGCAAATTTTTTTCCTTTTATTTTTTAAAGTAATACAGATTGAACCCAGAGCCTTCATACTCAGCTATAGCTATATCCCTACCCTCTTTAAATTTTGTGACAGGGTCCCACTAAATTGTCCAGGCTGGGCTTAAACTTAGGATCTTCCTGCTTCAGCCTCCCAGAGTGCTGAGATCACAGGTGCGTGCCAGCATGCTTGGCTTCAAGGTGCTCTTAGAATAGAATTCTCCATATTCGGAGAGTTGAGAGAACCATGTTTTCTTGACTTCTGATTCCACTGCAAGGTTTTACCCATAAAATATCCTCATTCTCTAGGGTGTTTGGTTACAAAGAATCCTCACCATGTCTGGAGTCTATGTGGGAATATTCACCTACTTTTAAAATGTATTTGTCACCCCTAAATCAACCCCAAAATGTTTTTGCAGTCATTTGCAGATGCACATGGAGAAGTGAGAAATCTGAATCACCCAAAATATGGCCCTGCACGGCCTCTGCTGAGCTCAGGAAGAGCGAGGCAGCTCCTCCTGGTTTCATCTTTCTTGAACCATAAACAAGTGTCCTTGTGTTTGCAGTATATTTAATGCTGGTTTTCATCATTGTGCTTTTTGTCCGTTATTCTGTTTCACTGTATTTATTTGTTTGTTACTAGTGCTGGGGATTGAACCCAGTGCACCGTGGATTTTGAGCACACACTGAGGTAGGTGTGTTCCCTGCCCCACCAGGTGTCAACAGTGCTCCCAGGGCTGAGCATGTAGCTCAGGGTTAGGGTGCTAAACAAATATGCCTGGGCTCCTTTCCTAGCACCACAAGAAACAAAGACAAACTCACAAAAGGGTCCCTAATTGTAGTGCTGGAGGGTGTCTAGCTTTTTCCAAATGCAAGAAGGCAGTGATGCACCTTATGGACAAAGCACATGCATTAAACATGTTTAATTTAGGCATGAGTTAGAGTGCTATTGGCCACAAATCTAATGTTAAATAATCACTTTATGTTAAAATAAGACATATGAAAATGGCCTGGGGATTTAGCTCAGTAGCACAGCACCAGCCTGGCAAGCATGAGGTCTCGAGTTCGATTCCCAGTACTATATATATATATATATATAATATATATATATATATATGTGTGTGTGTGTGTGTGTGTGTTTCCATTTATATATAATATATGATATATGATACATGATATATGTTATATATAATCATATATGATATATATAATATATATGGAAACACACATATTGCTTACTGAAAATATTGTGATTATTGACTGAGTATTCATAGTAATCCTATACAACATAACCAGTTGTAAACAATGAGAATCAAACATAAATTAGAGTGTAAGGTACAGGAAAGAGTAAAAATCAAAATAAAAAAAAAGGAAAAAAACTTGAAAATGACTCAGACTTGGCAAATAAATATATGTGTATTATGCAAAACCACAATATTTTTCTAGTTATTTCAGTATGCCAAAATACAGTGAATTAGGTTTTATGGAAGTTATTTAGTAGTTCAGCTTTCTTTTACTATTTTTTTCCTCAGGTTTTTTGTTTGTCTTTTTTGAGATAGAATCTTTGTAGTTCAAAATGGCCTTGAACTCGCTATGTACCCCAGGCTGGCCTTGAACATGTGAAGATCTTACTGCCTCGGCCTTCCTAGTGCTGGGGTCACAGGTGTGCAGCACCAGGCCAGGCTTCTACTTTTCAGCAGGCACTTGTGCCGCTGAGCTACGTCCCTGGCCCAGTGCTACTATTCTTTTATTTATTTATTTTGGTACCAAGGCTCGAACTCACAACCTTGCACAAACTTGCACTTGCCAGGCAGGCACTTATGCCACTGAGCTAAACCTCGAGCCCTTCTACTATTGATGCTTGTATTTGTTTAGTTTTGTTTGGTTGCTTGTGATGCTGGAGTTTGAACTCCAGAGTCTTTGCACTGAGCTACATCCCTCGTCCTGGTTATCTTACCGTTTTAATTTCACCAAACAAGATCTTCCTGTCACTAAATTGTCTACGCTGGGCTTGAAATTGAGGACTTTCTGCCTCGGTCTCCCTAAGTACTAGGATTACAGACATGTGCCAGCACACCCACCTCAATACTTTGTTTTTTAAAAAGTGAATCTGACAGCCCTGTCTGGTGGCTTATGCCTGTGGTCCCAGCTACTTGGGCAATTGAGGTGAGAGGATCACTTGAGCCTAGATCAGTTGAGACCACCCTGGGCAACATAGCAAGATCCTGACTCCAAAAAAAAAAAAAAAAATGCTGGGCATGGTGATGCACATCTATAATCCCAGCTCTCAGGAGTGAGGCGGAGGCAGGAAGACTGTCTTGAGTTTAAGGCCATCCTGGGCTGGACAGTGAGTTCCAGATGAGCATAAACTATACAGTGAGACCCTGCCTCAAACAAACAGACAAATAACAGCAACAAAAATTTGAATTTTATGCTCCTGTCTTTGTCAATGGTGCCCTTTGAGAGCCCTTAAATCCCTCTGAGCTAATATTACTGGCTTCTCTCGGTCACCATTCAGGTCTGGTGAGCAAGGCAGGGGCCTCGCAGCTGCTGTTCTGCTCACTCCTATTGTATCCAGAGAACAACAAATCCTGCTAGTGAAGGCATAATACTCCCACTGTTGGCGTAGCAGCTAAAAATGGGGCTGTGACTTGGAGAACAGTTTCTGAGCCTTTCCTTTGGTTCCATTATCTGGGCCTCCAGAAGAGGAATCTCATGTCTATTACAGCACAGAACCATACATATAGCCATGCAGGATACGAATGAATCTTTAAAACAGGAACCATTATTTGCTTTTTTGAAACAGGATCTCACTACGCAGCCCAGGCTGGTCTTGAACTCATGATTCTCTGTCTCAGTGTGGTTAATGGGCCATAGTTACGTGGCAGAGGGAACCCCATTCTCTGCAGGCTGGGGTAGGATGAGGGCTACAGAATCTTAGTACTCTGCAAAAGCACAGCAGAGCTCAAATGTCTGAGGAGTCCAGCTCCCAGGCTGCCATAGTGGGAGGGCTATCATTCAATCAGAATAATTAACGATCATTGTCAGTTAAGTGTACAAAAACGATTCCACTATTTCTGTATCCTTATGTTCTTGATATATGTGATTTTCACATACCTCATCCAGGTCTTTGGTCTGTCACAGGCCCCAGCACGTATGCCTGGCAATTATATTATACTCGTGTCAACAATAGTGTTTTCCCTTTGAAGTACCTGGTGGCACAGAGAGACACCCACTGGAGGGACCCTTTTCGCAATGTTGTGCTCAAGAGTTTGCACCCTTGTGTTTTCTCCTGCAGCACATTCTGTTGGCCTTCGGTCCCCAGAGACAGAATAATGAGCCTGGGCACATCTCTGGGGAATTGATCTTGTCTCATCTCTTGCTTGATCTGCTTCATGCCAACCTTGTGTCCTGTTAATAGAGGTCATGCATTGGCATTTGCGATGTGTGCACAGTGACACTTCCTAGATGCCGGTCAGGAAAAGTTAGAGGCTTGAGCCAATGAGAAGAAGGAAGGTTGTATACAGGGGTGTTGGGAGCAGGAGTCCAAAGCAATTTTGCTACAAGTAAGATCCTGTAAACATTCAGAGAAGCAGCTCCCCAGCTGTGATCTCAGATTGTCTCATCCATGGCTCTTTGATTTTAATGTTCAGCTGGACAGTTTTCCCTTGTTGTTTTTATTATTTTTTCCAAGTGTCTCATCTCTCCTCTGCCAAGGCTCCCTTGCTGAGTTCCATTGTTTATTTCACACCTCCTGCCCTGAGCCATTCAGCTTCCTCTGAGTTCCCCCTGCATCCTCAAGTCCTGAAAGTTCCCCAGAGCTAATCTGCATTCAGAGCTTGCACAAATCTCCGTGTATTTATACACAGAGGAGCTGGGAGCATGCCTGTAACCCCAGGACTTGGAAGTCTGAGGCAGAATTGTTTGTTCAGACAGCGAAGGCTGTATAGAAAATTTGAGACCAGCCTGAAATATAGAGAGACCTTGTCTCAAAAAAAAAAAAACCAAAATAAAATGAAAGGGGTGAATGCATGGAAAAGGAAGGAAGGAAGGGAAAGAAAGGGACTCAAACATTAAAGATAGCAATTTGTCATCTGGTTTCACATTCATCTAGTTTCTTTCATTGATCATTTCTGAGTGATTTTGTTCTTCTCTAAGTTTTTTGCTTAAGGGTATGTAGCAATTCCTTAAAAAATTTACCAGGCATGGTGGCACAGGAATGTAATCCAAGCACTTGGGATGCTGAGGTGGGAAAATTGCAGCGAGTTTGAGGTCACCCTGAACTCCTCAGTGAGTTCAAGGCCAGCCTGGGCTGCACAGTGAAACCCTGCCTCAAAATGAACAAATGAAAACAAACAAGCCAAGCAAACAAACAAACAAAAATCCCAAAATTAAAAATATAATTATCCTGTGCTCCAACAATTCCACTTCAGGGTGTACATCTGAAAGAATTAAAGTAGAGAGATACCTGTATATCCAGATTAATAGCAATATTATTCACAATAAGAGAGGAGAAAGACAAGTATTCATGGATGGGTCCCATTCCACACAATGGAATACGACCCAGCCTTCAAAGGCAAGGATATCCTGACATATGCCACAACTTGATGAAACTTAAAGACAGAATGCTAGGTGGAAATGGTCACAAAGAGACAACAAATACTGTATGTTCCCTGGACATGAGGTTCTTAAAGTCAGATGCATAAAGAGATTGTGGAATGGTATTGGCAGGGGCTGGAGAGAGACGCGAAAAGGAAGTTACTGCCTAATGGCTGCAGAGATTCTGTCCTGCAACGTAAAAAGAATTCTGTTCTGTACACTTAGAAGTGATTAAGATGGCATTCATCATAAGAAGCATCAACTGGGGGCACCGGCCCAAACAAACAGGAGAGCTGGTGATGTTCTGGGGCATCGCCACCAAGCTGGGGACTGAGGAGATTGTGGGCAATGACCCCAAGACCAGGCAGAGCCTCTCTTCAGTGATGCCAACCCTCCTGCAGCACATGCAGCGTAAGCTCTAGACCACGTCCAACTGGATCACTGGAAGAAATGCTGCTAAGAGTCATCGCATGAATGATTCGGAGGAAAACTTCGCAGACCTCAGATGCTGACTGAGGGGAAGAATTGAAAGGTGAGAACAAGAGAGTCGGAGGTTGCTAATAATTTACACTGATGTATGAAACATCATTTTTCCAAGCCAAGAGAAGACCTGGTGGCTTTTTGCTACTACTATATGCAGACAGGTTTTATAATGTAAACTCTTGGGGGCTGGTAATGTAGCTTGTGGCAGAGAGCTTACCAAGCATATATGAAGCCCTGGGTTCCATACTCAGTGCTGCAAAAATCATAAATAAAATAGACAAAATGGTGTCTCCTTATCACATCCTATGTATTTAGTTTACATAGTAATCCCCCCACCCTGCCCCAGCTTCTTAAATGTGATATCTTCATGTTTGGGAATTTAGTTGCTGTTCCCTTAATTATTAAGCCCTGCAACTTGGCAATTCTTGCATAAAATTGTCAGATTTTAAAAAATGATTAAGATGCTAATTTTTTGCATTGCTGGAGATTAAATTTAGGGCTTTTGCTTGTTAAGAGTATGCCACATCACTGCACTATATAAGATAGCTTTTTTGTTGCTTGTATTTTATCGTACTTTAACACATACACACATAAAATTTAGGAAGCACTTAAGAGCATTTCTCAAACTTGTTCCAGTATGCAGTGATGAGAAATCCAAGATCCTGCCCAGTGGACACCTCCAAAGGAGAGAGGTCAAATCTTTCACTGAAGTGTGACCGAAGAAAGCCTAAACCTGAGGAAGGACGGAAAAGAACAACCAGGAAATAGCACCACGTTCACAGCTGCGTGTGGGAACCCAGGGAAGCTGGAGGAAAAGCCTTTTGTGGACTCTCAGAGGACAATTGCAATGGCAGGTCCTAAACAGGAAGAACCAGAAAAACAGTTCCTAAAGCCCCATTCAGTAGCTCTGGAGAAAAATACCTAGAAGATCTCAGAGCCTAAAGTCTTGAAAACAAAGATGACAGCAGGAACAATAGGCAGGTATCAGTCTGAGGATTCTGGTAGTCTGGGCCAGAAGCTAAGGAGACACCGTGATATGGGATCAAAGTCTCTCCTGAATCCTTGGGTGCCAGGTGGCGCCCCGGCCTTGGCGTTGGTTCCCCACAATGAAAGAGGAGCCAAGCAAATGAGTCAGAGGAAAACTAAACCTCATAGGGGATCCACTTCAAGTAACCCTAGCCAAATTCCACCCAAGGCCATCTTTCTCAAAGCAGTGTCACCACCAGGTGCTGCAGGTATAGATGCCCAATTGGATGCACAGGTAAGAACTTACCTGTCTGGAGCCTTTTCAGCAAAACCCAGGGAAACTTGTACCATTTTAAGTTTATAAGGCACTTTCAGGGCTTCTAGAAAGGTTTCTTTGAAGTACTATTGGTGCCATTTTCTTTCTCCTGTTCCTTCATTCTTTTGGGTTTTCTTTCTAGTCCTTTAACTGTGATAAAACACATATAACGTTTATCATTTTACCCACTTTTAGGTGTACAGTCAATGTCACCTAATATGTTCACAATGTTTTGCAAGTATCACATCACCGGTATTTACTTTCAAAACTTTTTCATGACCCCCAATAGAAACCCTGTGCCCTGAACTGAGTACAGTGGTGCGTGCCTGTGGTTCCAGCACTTGGGAAGCTGAGGTAAAACGGTCGTGAATGTGCGACCAGCCTGAGCTATGTAGTGGGGCCCCGTCTCAAAGCACCAACAAAACAAAACAAACAAATCAGCAGCGATACCCCATTCACAATGGCCTGTAATCTTCGTGTCTCTCTGAATTTGCCTGCTCTGCCTGAGATAAGTAAAACCATGGAACATTTTCTCTCTGTGTCTGACTAATTTCCTTAGCATTTTTTCAGGATTTATCCATGTTGTAGCAGGTATCAGAATTTCATTCCTTTTAAGATTGCACAACAACAAAAAAGAGTGAACAATATTCCATACTGTGGTGGACTGACTAATGGTGAACTTGTAACACCCAGCTGAACTGAAGGCCCACCTGGGGGTTGTTGCCAACAGCAAAAAAGGAGAACTGGAAGGGAAGATGTCACGATGGCTCTCCCGATATGAACTCAGCTGTTCTCATTACTAGAGGAGCTCAGGTCCTCGCTGTGGAACCACAGTACAGGATGCCTGTGGTTCTCTTTGAGTGAACGCTGGCCCTTATCTTGAGCATTACTTCCTGGCTCCAGTGCGGATCCCTCAGCTGCTGGCACAGATATTCCACCCCGCGGGTGCAGACTTTCTAGCTTCCACTACTGACCTTTGGGCCTTCCCAGTGCAGATTCTTGATACAGACTTGCATGAGACATTGGCATAGGCTCTAGGCCTCCAGCTGGACTCATGGAGGACATTGCAATGGGCTCATGCAGGACTCATGCAGGTGGTCATCATGGGATGCAGGTCCTCAGCTGGATGTTTTTTGGGTCTGTAGTGTGTGAAAAGATCCCCTGCTCTCTTTTGCATTTGACTCTTAGGGTGAATATTATAAAAGAATTCTATAAATTATGTGTCTTATATGAAATTGGTTCCCTTTAAATGCTGAGTACAACACATACTATACATGAGCCACATTTTATCTGTTGATACAAGTTCAAATCGTTTCCAGCTTTTGGTGACTAGTAATAATGTTGCTGTGAACCACACTGTATAGGTATCTCTTTGAGTTTCTACTTTCAAATTTTGGGTACACCTCTAGCAATGGAATTACTGTCATATGTAATTCTATGTTTAACTCTTAGGAATGGCCAAACCATTCCCCATGGCTGCACATCTTACTTTCCCACTAACAATGTACGAATGTTCTGCTTTCTTCGTATCTTCACCAACATTTGTTATATTTGGTTTCCAACCTAATGAATGTGTGATGTGGTACTTACTGTGCTTTTATTTTGCATTTCTCTGACTAGTGATGTACATCTTTTATGTGCTTTGAGGCCCCCTGTGTATCTTTATGGATAAACTTCTATCTAGGTCCATTGCCTACTTTTGCATCAAGTTCAAACTACCAAAGAGGTTACTTCTTATCTGTGCATCAGAAGGAGCATCTATGGCTGCGGAGTCTGGTGGTAGCAACATTTGGAGAGTTACTCAATTTGTAGAAGTTTTTTGTATATTCTGGATATTGATCCCTATTCAGACACATTATCTGCAACTATTTTATCGCATTCTATGGTTAGTTTTTCACTCTCTTGATGATATTGTTTTGTTTTCAGTACTAGGAATTGAACTCAGGGCATTCACACTAAGTTATATCCCAGCCCTTTTAAAATTTTTTAATTTTGAGATGGGGCTCCCTCCCTCACCAAGTGGCCCAGACTGGGTTCAAACTTGTGATCTTCCTGCTTCAGCCTCCCAGAGTACTGGGATTATGGGATTGTACCACTACACCTTCTCTTTGATGATGTTTTTTTAACCACAAAATTTTTATTATCATCACTATAGTTATTATTATTTTGTCTGTTTGAGACAAGGTCTCACTATATAGTTCAGGCTGACCTCGAACTCACTTTGTAGCCTAGTCTGTTCTTGAACTCAAAAATGATTCTCCTGCCTCAGCCCTTTAAGTGCTGGGCTGGAGCACTGGTATTACAGGAGTGCATCACCACACCCAGCTCAAAAGCTTTTAATTATGATGAAATCAAACTTATCTATTTTTCTTTTGTTGTCTGTGATTTTAGTGTCATCTGCAAAAACTTACCACCTAATACAATGTTATTTTTAAAACCTCCTACATTTTCTTCTAAGAGTCCTATAAATTTAGGTCTTATATCTAGGGCATTGATCATTTTGGGTTTTTATATATAGTGTTAGATAAGAATCAACCGCATTTTTGTGGGGAGTACTGGTGTTCAAACTCATGACCTCATGCTAGCAAGGCAGGCACTTACATCGCTGAGCTAAATCCTCAGCCCCCAACTGCATTCTTTTGCATATAGATATCCTGTTTTTCAGGCTCCATTTGTTTTTTGTTTGTTTGTTTGTTTTATTTTGTGGTCTTTTTGAAACAGGGTCTCACTATGCAGTTAGGCTGGACTTAAGCTCACTTTGTAGCCCAGCCTGGTCTTGAATTTGCAACAATCCTGCTGCGTCAGCCTCCCAAGTGCTGGAATTACAGGCATGCACCACCATGCCCAGCTACAACGCTTCATTTGTTGAAAAGACTATTGTTGCCCAGGCACAGTAGGACATGCTTACAACCCGAGCATTTTGGGAGGCCGAAGCAGGAGGATGGTGAGTTTGAGCTCAGTCTGGGTAATTTAGTTACTTGGCAAGACTGCGTCTTAAAGTAAGAAACTTTAAAAAGGGCCAGGGATGTAGCTGTTTGATCGTTTAAACCTGATGCAAAAGTGAACAAAGATCCTGAATTCAATCCCCACTACCAAAGAGGAAAAAACACCCTTCCCCAGGCTTACTTTCTTTTATATTTGCATCCTTTTGTCTCCCTGCTAAGTGAGAACAGAGGATTTAGCTAAATTTCTTTTTAATATAGCATATGGTAAATAACACTTGTAAGCAACATGTTATACTTAAATATGTAATGAAACTTGGTGACAAGATGGCAAATATAAATTCTACCTCATTCTCAATGCCCTGTTGCATCCGCCTAGATGATTCCTATCAATGACCTGTTAGCATGCACTGTCTATAGTACCTGTCAGAGTAATTGACTTACCTTTTCCTCCAACAACCATGGAAGCAACTGACTCTTCAGGTACATAATTCTTGAGTTCTGTTCCACAACTTGGAGACTGAAGTAGGAGACATCTGCAAAATCCCCTCATCACTGCGCGCCCACTGAGGAATGCAGGGACCCAGAGCCATGCCAAGGAAACCTTGCAGGGGCAGGAACCGTCCTTTCTCACCTCAGGTGGACAATTCTGAGGTTGTGCCATTTGGCCACTCAAGAGAGACAGCCCCAATCTCTTACAATAACCAGGGTGAGAACAGTGTAACAGAACAAGCTTATATTTGAAAAAGCTAATAAAGTAATCTTAGCATCTGATGCCTTTTGGTGTTTTTTTGGGGGTGGGGAGGATAGGGTTGAGGTTTTGTTTTGTTTTTAGTCTAAAAAAACCCAGATGATTTCCTACAAGCGGTGACTCTGGACTAAAGAATTTCCTGTCGGACTGGTCATGGTAGCCTAAGCCTATAATCCCAATACTTGGGAGACTGAGGCAGGAGGATTGCCACAAGCGTGACACCAGCCTACATGATTAGTTCGAGGACAGCCTGAAGTGAGATCCTGTCTCAAAAAAAAGAAATTGCTGGCAGGAGTCAGTGGTGATTTGGCTATGTGATGAAGACAGAAATATTTGGTTTCTGTAGTTGGCTGAGCAAAGGAAATAGGCTGAAGTAGCCACTCTACGAAACCAGCTATTTTGAAGTCACTGTCAGTTGGGCAGACTCTGTATTTTCCCCTGTCTGTCATTACAGTTCCTCTTCACAGCGCATTGCTCTGTGCAGAGAGCTGGGTAATATCTTTACATATTCAACCGTGCCTCGTTTCTTCCCTTTGATCTATTTTTAAGAAGTTTATTTATTTGGTTATTTTTAAAGCTTATGCTTCAGTAGATTTTGGTATACTCACAATGTTGTACAAAAACCACCACGACCTAATTCTCAAACATTTTGGTCACCATGAAAAGAACCCATATAATTAGTAGTCACTCACCATACCCCAGTTCCTGGCAACCACTGATAAGCTTTCTGTTTCTGTAAATTGGCATATTCTGGACAGTTAGTGTCTGTGGAGGACCACCAGGATGGTCCTCCTTGAAAGAAGAGCATTTGACTCCATTTTGGCTAAGCCTGGCCCTGATTCTGTGTATCGATATGTACAGAGTTGGCTAGGGCATTTCTTTATCCCCTTGATTGTCATGAAGCAATGCAAACAGATCTAGCTGAGGTTCTGGTGCGTAGTCTTTAGAGCAATGGGGAAGAGCAGTGATGCTCTCCCTGCAGCTTCCAGTTGGTATGCGTGTGAGTTAGACCTCGCTGTAGGCTCAGACAGAGGCTCACGAGAACAACCCATGATGTCTCAGGGCATGAAAACTAGACTTGAAAATAGAGGCTAGGACCCTAAAACACAAGACACAGCCTCAAGTGTGTTATGCGGATTACTGTCTGCAGACCTACCTCTCTCTGCATGGTGCAGAGGTGCTACCTAGCCCAGCTATCAGCACCCACGTACTTCCTGCCACTCTCACAGTCACTCACCCCGAGCCACTGCCCTCTTGTGAATTAATGAAATCCAGGTTTAGCCCGGATCATGCCTTCATGCTGTTAGCCATTGTTCTAACTTGGTTCCCCACAACTACAGGTATATGTTTATCTCTTTATTCTCGCCGTGGGTTGCACCAGAACAGGCAGATTGGAATTACTTGTTCCAATAACTTTTCCCTAGGATTATACATGTGGACTCACTGGACTGTGGTGAGGTCCAGAAGGTCTACCTGTAAGTATCAATGGAATCACGTCATATGTATATGGCTTTTTGTGTCTGGATTGTTTCACTTAATAAAATATTCTCAGGGGTTTTCCATGCCATGGTTATGTGCCAACTGAGGTTCTTTCATCTGCACCTTAACTTTTTCACTCCACGTGATTGCCTGTGATTCAATTCAATTCTGACACTAATCCCTGGAGTTAGCAGCAAATCCCACAGGGTAAGGGTTCAATCCCACAAGACTGCTTCCTCGTCAGATACAAGCTACAAATGGGGTGTCAGGACTAGTACTATTCATATTTCTTCTTAGCCAATCAGGGACTCAAGTGTTCCCATGAGGCTCCCTCCAGTTTAGTGAGTTGCTAGAATGAGTCATAGAACTCACAAAAGCACTTTTGTCACTGTTGCTAAAGAATAATAAAGAATGTGACTCAAGGTGGGCATGGTGGCCTGTGCCTGTAGTCCCAGCATTCTGGGAAGTTGAGGAAGGAGAGATACAAGTTTGAGGACTGCTTGGACAATTTAGTGACTGGGGATGTGGCTCAATGTGAAGGCCTTAGGTTCAAATCCCCAGTAACACACACACACACACACACAGAGAGAGAGAGAGAGAGAGAGAGAGAGAGAGAGAGAGACAGAGAGAGAGAGGATAGAACTCAGGATATCCAAGTGGAAGAGATGAGCAGGGCAAGGTAAAGAGGGAGACCATTCTTTAGGGCGCCATCCCCCAATGCTTCAATATGTTCACAAACCGGGGAGTCCTCTGAGTCTAATCACTTAGGGGTTTCATGAGATAACTATGACTGATTAAACCGTGGGCCACTTGTGATTGAATTCAGTCTCCAGCCCTTCTCCTCTTCCTGGACTGGGAGACAGGTGTTGGTTTTACAAGTTCCAACCCTATGATCTTGGCTTGCAAACCAACTCCCATTCTGAAGCTGTCAACCCCACTCCCAACAAGAACCATCTCATAAGGAAAAACTAGGGTGTATAGTGGTTGTACTAATTTGCATCCCACCAATAGTGTGGGATTCCTCCTCTCACCCCAAGTCTTTGCAGCATGTGGTATTATTTCATTTCTTGATCATGGTCATTCTTTTTGGGGTAAAATTGAATCTTCATATAGTTTTAATTTGCTTTTTCTAATAGCCAGCAATGTTGAGCATTTCTTCATGTATTTATTGGCCATTTGTGCTCCTGTGAATTATCTACTCTTTTCGTATGCCCATTTTTTATTGGGTCTTTAATTTGAAGGTGTCTAATTTCTTTTTAATTTTTTTATGTGTTCTAGATAATTGTTTGTTTGAGGGATTGCTGGCAAAATTTTTTTCCATTTTGTAGGCTGTCTTTGCACCGTTGATTGTTTCTTTTGATGTGCAGAAGCTCCCTTGTATTAGTCTCAGCTTTATTAATTTCATCTCCAGCCTTTATCACTTCCTTCCCTGCAACAGTTTTGGATTTAGACTGTTCTTGTCTTTCTAGGACCTTGAGTGCATCATTAGGTTATTTATTGTTTTTCTGATGCAGACATCTCTAAACTTAGGACTACTTTCATTGTGTCCATAGGTTCCAGTATGTTGTACCAGCATTATCGTTTGATTCTAGAAAAGTCTAATTTCTTCCTTGATTTCTTCCGTGACCCATTGATTATTCAAGAGGGTAATGTTTACCTTCCAGACGTTTTCATAATTTCTGTGGGTTTTGTGTGCATTAACTTCTAGTTTCATTATACTATATCTGATAATATGCCTCTGACAATTTCAATTCTGCTTTTTATTTACCTAAGCATGCTTAAGTATGTCCTCTGTTTTGGAGAAAGTTCCTAGTGCTACTGAGAATGTTATTCTGTTGTTGGGTGGAACACTCTAGATATCTATTAAGTCCATTTGTTCAAAAGTTTGGTTTAACTTTGTCATTTATTTGATTTCTTGCCTGGTTGTACTTTTTGTCTACTTCAGTGGATATTGAGATCATTCATTATAACTCTGTTAGTGTTTATCTGATTTATTATGCCTGTTATTTTTTCCTGTTGAATTGTTCACTTAATCAATATGTAGTGCTACCTTTGCCTCTTTTGGTCAGTTTTGGGTTGAAATCCACCCTGAAATTAGGGTAGTTATCTGCTTTTTTCCAGATTCTTATTACGTGGAATATTTCTGTCCTTTGAGTTTCAGTGTGTGTATGAATGTTTGGATCGAATATGTTTTGTGTATACTGTGTATTGTTGGATTTTCTTGATCCATCCTGCCAATTTTGATTTGGAATTTTTTTTTTTTTTGAGACAGAGTCTTGCTATGTAGTTCAGCGTGGCCTTGAATTCACTACATAGCCTAAGATGGTCTTGAACTCAGGGCAACCTTTTGGTCTCAGCACCCCAAGTGCTGCAATTATAAGTATGTGCCATCATGCTCAGTTTTGATTTGCGAATGGAGACCATTCACATTGAGAGTTGTTACTGAAAGGTATTGATGTTATCCATGTCACTGCATTATTTTCCCATTGCTGATTTCCTTCTCTCTCCCTTTCTGCTTAACTGTTCACTCTTCCTGGTGTATTCATTCTATTAGATTTGTTGGCTTCATTGTCTCTAAGATATCCTTGAGAGTTTTTTGTAATGATAGTTTGGTGGTCATGAATTTCTTGAGGTGCTCTTTGCAATGATATCTTACTTTTCTATCAATTTTGAAAGAAAATCTTGTAGGATGTATAAGTCTGGGTTGGAAGTTGTTATCTTTTAGGGCTTGAAATCCTTTATTCCAAGTTCTCTTGGCCTTAAACCTTTTGTTGTGACAATTCTAATGGGTCTGTTTTTGTAAGAGATTTGTTGCTTTTCTCTAACAGATTTTAAGATTCTGTCCCTGTATCAGAATTTTGGTATTTTGCTTATGATATTATAGACAGCTAAATTAGGTAGAAATATAGTAGGCAGTCAGACAGGGCTAGGCCCTCAAGGAAGCCAGTGCAGAAGATGAGAATCCCATTAGGACTGTGGCTGGAATCACATCTGAAGATTAAAGTCAAAATGGCTAGTTCTGCATTCTTCGCTATGGGATGAACAGAGAATTAGGATTATTAGTATCACCCTCTTGAGGTTTCCCATTATTTCATTAGGGGTGAGTCATCTTCTCCCACCTGCTAAGACATAGACTAAAAGCACTAAGACTATTAAGACTAAAGGTCCTTAAGGCATCCACTATCACTGAGCCTGAGGTTACTCTTCCTCGACATTCGGAACCTGAGGATGGGGTCCCCAAGACAATCTTAATCAAAGCCTTGCTCACTGTTACTGAGTCTGAGGTTTCCCCTACCAGCCCTTTGGATCCTGAGGGTGGAGCTCGTAAGCAACAATAATTAAAGCTTCCATGAGGCTGCATCCATCCTTAGTTGATTTTGTTCAAGCTCCTCAAAGAAAATACCCCTTACAGGAAATAAATAGGGAATCTAGAACTGTCTGTGCCTCATGTGTCCCTTTTTCTCAGTGACCTAAAACGGATTAGGCAAGATCTAGGAAAATATTCAGATGATCCTGATAAGTACCCTGAGATCTTTAGAGGACT